GAGAGTGAGGATGGAGGGCAACTCTGACTCCTTTCTAGGAACACTGTTTTACTTCAAAGGTACCGTTTGTTTGGTGGTTGCTCTTTTTTAATAGCAAGTTTTTTAGAGCTAAGTTTAGTAAATACTATTCTGAAAACCAGGTGTGAATATAGGCTCAATAAATTTGCTTGTATACATGGTTTGTAAAGTAAAGCCTACTTGAACAATATATATAAATAACCACTCAACAAGACTATTTTAAAAGGCTTTGACCTTTTGAGTTCTTAAGACCCTGTATGTTTGTTTAAAAGAGACCAGGGAGGAAATTTGAAATTAGGCCTCATACTCTGTCTGACTTCCATCATTGAGTCAATGCTGACTGATAGCCACCTCCAATCGGTTTCTGAGACTGTAACTATTTACAGGAGTAGAAAGTCCAGTCTTTCTCCCTCTAGGCCTCATTATAGATTATGTATATATACATTATCATTATGTGTGTGTGTGTGTGTGTGTGTGTGTGTGTGTGTATCCCCACCATCTGTCAGTTTGTCATACTGTGATGGCTGGCATGTTGCTATGATACTGGAAGCTATGCCACTGGTATTTCAAACACCAAGTTTCAACAGAGCTTCCAAACTAAGACATTCTAGAGAAAAAGGCCTAGTTAACTCCTAGCCAATGAAATGTTATGTATCACAGCAAAACATTGTCTGACTGGCTTGCTTTAGACATGTCATCAGGAGGGATCGACTGCTAGAGGAGGGCATCATGTTTGATACAGTAAAGAGCTGATGACCTTCAGTGCGATGGGTTGGCAATGTAGCTGCAACAAAGAACTAAAACACTGGCAATGCTGAGGATGACACAGCACTGGGCAACACTTCTTTTGCTGCACGTAAGTTTGTGGTGAGCCATAGACAACTCGTCGACAACTAACAACATATATGCCTAGGTTCAGCCACAGCCTAGCTAAATGTGCTCAATATCTCAGTGTCCTGAGGTGTTTGTAAAATGGAGATATGAATGAGATCATTAAAAAAATGAGATAATCCACAAACCAAACGAGATCATACAGGGCCTACCACGAAATAAGCACTTAATAAAATGAGTAATTTCTGTTACACTAAAATATAAATTAAATATATAAGTATTCAGACTAAAAGTAACCATTAAATTGTGAAGTAAAAACTAAAATTTTTAAAAAGCAAAGAAAAGAAATCACAAAGAAAATGTCTTCAGAAACTAAGATTCCTTTTTTTTTGTTTTCCCCTGTGGGAATAGTTATCTTAATAGTCTATAACAAAAAGCACCAGGCACATTACGGGTATCAAATAAATACTACTGAACTATTTCAATATAGTGAGATAATAAAACTTGTGAATGAATGTCTGACCCAATTAATATATAAATCTACTTCCAGAATTATCTTCCATTTCTTTCTCTGGACAGCTAAAATTCCACAGCAAGAGATTTAAAGATTTTCTCCTCATTTAGACAGCAAGACCTACATTATAAAATATTGTACTTCAGCCAGCTTTCCAACAAGGGCTCCCTTAAGTGTCTGTGTGTAATTTGGAAAATGTGAAGAGTTAAATGTTGCAAAAACAACTACTAAATAAATAAATTAAATAAATAAATAAAGTAAACCAACAATAAATATAGAAAAAATAAAGAGAACTTAAGTCAAGGGTCATCTATGTTATTTTAAATATATTTTGGAGGGTAAGAACCATATTTCAAGAAAAAAAAGAACCATACTTCACGTCTATGTGGCAAGTTCTGACAAACACTTGAACTTGTTCATTTTTGTACATTTATATTACTCTTTTCTACCTGTAGTTCAAGTTTTATACTTGCAGTCCAAGTTGAACATCAAACTTGAGATTTGTCAAATTTGAGATGTAGAACAGTTTTCTAATGTGGCTATATAAACTGCTCCTGATGATAAATCAATTCATACAGGTTTTAAGGACAAAAATCGTGAGACTTCTGGAAGATCGTTTTATGAGTGTCAGTAGTCATACATATGCGCATGCAAACAACACAAATACAAAACTCAAGCCTTTCTCCCAACTATTAAGTTGAATGACATTTCACCAGATGACGTGTTTTCATTAAAACAATACATTCTGAGATGCACATCTAATACTTTGATTCTTTTAAATGTATCCCTGTGACAAGAAAAACAACACAAGCTTTAGTATTTAAGGGCTTTGCTCAGCTGATAGTGAACAAACAACGTTTCTAGTTTTAAAAGATTTTCACCTGACATATGTGCAATAATGTCAATGAAAAATAAATACATTTTCTATTTATGCTAAGAACAGATTAAAATCTTTTTAACTGAGAAAGCTGTACTTTGTGGCAGTGAGATATAGTCAATCCCAAAGAATAGCTTAAAATAGCATAAAAGCCAAACATGACCAAATAAATACAAACATTAATGTTCAATTTTGTCGTAGAATTCTTACCAATCTCAAAAATTAAATAGTTTAGCACTCGTTCTTCCTATCTATATAAACTTGTGAACTAAATTTCAAGGATATTTGGTGATTTAAATGTTTACAATCTTCAATGGAAATAGTTTGATAATAAGAGCTTCTGGCAGTAAATATGATTAAGCCAAAAAGTACTCGTTGAAATGCCTACTGTGGTTCCACTGTACTATACTGAAATAACAGTTCTTAAACAATCAAAAAATGTCACTCACCCGCAAGTGTGTAATCCATATCAAAACCAAAACACTTAATTTTTTCCATGGCTAAGCTTCGGTTCACAAACACCCTGTAAAAAGGAGTAAAATAGATACGTTGATGAACATGAAACAAACAAAAACTAAACTATAAGGAAGCTGTTTGTGTTTTCCTAGATATTAAAGTACCCTTATTAAGGTTCATAATAAACACTACCCAATTCCTTTGTAAATCATAAGTGAACTGAGATATTATGTAAAAACATGTGACTGTATTTCCCGTGTGCTGGCATTAGCCATGCATTGTAATTAAGGCTCAAGAAACATACTCCTTTTCAAAGTCTGACCCCATAAAATGAGTTTACTTATGGGATTTATCTATTTACTCATTCACCTATACTTCATTTAATAAACAAAAGTTCGTTAAAAAGCCTATTGTATGCCAGGCATAAAAGACAAAAGTTTAGTCATACAGCAAACATTTACTGAGTAACTACTACGAGCCAGATACTGAGGTATGGCAATGAATGAAAGAATGGCTGCCCTCATGGAACTTAATTTCTACCTTATTATCTATCCCTGGAAGAAGGGCTTAAAAGCAAATTAAAGAGTTTTCTTAGTTTTTCTTTTTCTGTTTCTGCAGGAGGCTTTTAAGAAAAGGGGAGGAGAGGGATAAGAGTTATGTAGCTAAAAAAAGTTAGCAGAGGTCAAAATCATGATTTTGTATGCTACAGTTGGAACTTTGAACTTTACACTTCAAGGAAGAACAAGTAATCAGATTTTGAGGAAATGAAATATCAAAATCAAATGTCAAAAGGATGCCAGAAGACATTGGGAAAACAGCACATGCCCTGTTGTTGGGTACTATTTGAGTAGTTTCTGACCCTAGGCACAGCACAGGAGCCCTGTACCATCTTCACTACAGGTGAGTGCGCCACTTCAGCCACTATGTCAATCCATCTTGTTGAGTCTCCCCTTTTTCACTGAGCCTCTCCACTCCCAAGCACGATGTCCTTCTCCGAGGCTGGTTCTTCCTGTAATATGTCTAAAATACATGAGGCAAAGCCTTGCCAACTTTGCTTCCAAGGGGAAATCCCAGCTATATTTCTTCCCAAACTGGTATGATTGTTTTTCTGGCAGTCCATGATACAGTCAATATTCTTCTCCAACAACATAATTCAAATGAATCCATTCTGCCCTGGTCTTCTAGCTCACTGTCCAGTGCTGCTGTGCATGGAAAGCGACAGGGTCCCTGTATGACCATTGCTTGATCAGGGGCCTTAGTCCTAACACTGGTTATCTTTGCTCTTCATTCCATTAAAGATGCCTTTCGCAGCTGGTTTGCCTAGTGTGATGTGTTGTTTGACATCAGTATGGCAGATTGTCACTAAAATGGCTTCTGAAAGTAAGTTTTAATCATGCTTGAAAATAAGGATACACTCTACCTGATCCAAAGCTTGGTGTCCAAATCACAAAGGGATCTTATCTTTTTATTATCAAACCTTTCTTTGCCTGCATTTCTTAAGTTACTCTTATGCGTATCAAAATCAAAATCATCTAAGAAACGTATTCAGAATAAAGATGGCTGAGCTGGGCTCAGCAACTGCACCAAGGGAGGGAGCAGATTCCACTGGGATTTTGAGGAGCAAATATTAGATATTATTATTCCACTGATAATCATTTCGGAAAGTTTAATCTGTGTATCCACCACCTGTCAGTTTTTCATCATGATATATTGCTCCGATACTGGAAGATATACCATTAATACTTAAAATACCAACAGGGTCACCCATGCTGGACAGGTTTCAGCAGAACTTCCAGACCAAGAGGAAAGGCCTGGCCTTCTTCTGAAAACCAGCCAATTAAAGTGCTGAAAGATGAGACCCTCAGATTGGAAGGCACTGAAAGAAGCAGATGGCATAGGGTAAGGCAGACTTTCATCCTGTACCTCATTAGGTTGCCACAAGTCAGTCAACTCAATGGCAACTAACAATACAAGTGTGTGTTTTATATTAAATATAATGTTTTATGGGTAACTTGTAAATAAGCATATGCAGAGATAAACATTCCATTCCTTTACTCTGACTTTATATGCACCAACAACCTTAAATGAAGACAAATTTTCAAATATTTGCTAAAAATTACTTTGGCCAAGGGCTTCAAATCAATAGGCCCTTGATTTCAAAGCTGTTTTCTCCATTTCTCTGAAACATTTGAAAATCATAACCTGTTTCACTGACATAACTGCCATGCACATTACATTGTTGCTGTTGCGAGGTATGGTTCTAATTCATAGTAATCCTATATACAACAAAACAATTAGCTCTAAAAAGACTCTGTGCTCCTGCGAGGGATTGTATAAAATACTTATACCTTCTTTCCATAAGAACATCTGGTCTTTTGGAAAATTATATTTATTTTCTGTGGAATTCACATGGGATGAGATGGAAAGAAAAGAGTGGACAAAGAATTGTATGAGCCCTCAATAAAATAATTAAAAAAAAAAAGAATAATGAGGGTAACAAATGTACAAATGTGCTT